CCAAATCGCGCTCGCTCACTCGCTCTCTCTCTCTCTCCCCCTCCCTCCCCCTCTCCCTCTCCCTTCTCTCCCTCTCCCTTTCTCACTCAACTCTTTCTCTCTCTCTCCCTCTCCCGCTCTCCCTCTCCCCCTCTCTCTCTCTCACATACTCACACAAACACACACACACACGCATGCACAGAGTATATCTCTCTCTCTCTCTCTCTCTCTCTCCCTCTCCCGCTCTCCCTCTCCCTCTATCTCTCTCTCTCTCACATACTCACACACACACGCATGCACAGAGTATGCACACACAAAGTATGCACACAGGCACACACACTCTCCTTCCCACACACACTCCCTGGACTTAGAACCCCACAGGGAATGGCTGCCGGCCCTGGTGTTCCCTTGTTCCAGATGATGCTGGAAGCCAGCGTGGGGCTCCGGTTGCCCAGGGACACGAGAGCCAAAGCCCCGGAGGCTGGCTGAGGTGCGGGCAGAGGAGCTGCTGACAGCAACTGATTTAGAAAAAGCACTGGTGTGATTCCCCTGCTCAAGCCTCACCCACCGCCAGAAGCAACGCTTGGGATCCCATGTGGACGGTGCTCCCTGCTCCACACATGAGTGCGGGCGACCGCTGTGACACCCACAGTTCAGCGTCCTCCCTCATGAGAGCAGCTGTTACCCGCGGCGCATCCCGTTTCGCCTTTTCTTTTCGCTTCGTTGGTAATTGTCCCAAAGCCACTGGACCAAGGATGAGCGTGAGTGTGCGTGTTCATGTGATACCGTGGACGTGGTTGAGCTGTCAGCAGGCCTGGAAAACGCCTATGCAGTTCAGGTATGGTAACAGCCTGTGCGGTTAGGTATGGTAACAGCCTATGCATGTTCATGTGATACCGTGGACGTGGTTGAGCTGTCAGCAGGCCTGGAAAACGCCTATGCAGTTCAGGTATGGTAACAGCCTGTGCGGTTAGGTATGGTAACAGCCTGTGCGGTTAGGTATGGTAACAGCCTGTACAGTTAGGTATGGTAACAGCCTGTACAGTTAGGTATGGTAACAGCCTGTACAGTTAGGTATGGTAACAGCCTGTACAGTTAGGTATGGTAACAGCCTGTACAGTTAGGTATGGTAACAGCCTGTACAGTTAGGTATGGTAACAGCCTGTACAGTTAGGTATGGTAACAGCCTGTACAGTTAGGTATGGTAACAGCCTGTACAGTTAGGTATGGTAACAGCCTGTACAGTTAGGTATGGTAACAGCCTGTACAGTTAGGTATGGTAACAGCCTGTACAGTTAGGTATGGTAACAGCCTGTACAGTTAGGTATGGTAACAGCCTGTACAGTTAGGTATGGTAACAGCCTGTACAGTTAGGTATGGTAACAGCCTGTACAGTTAGGTATGGTAACAGCCTGTACAGTTAGGTATGGTAACAGCCTGTACAGTTAGGTATGGTAACAGCCTGTACAGTTAGGTATGGTAACAGCCTGTACAGTTAGGTATGGTAACAGCCTGTACAGTTAGGTATGGTAACAGCCTGTACAGTTAGGTATGGTAACAGCCTGTACAGTTAGGTATGGTAACAGCCTGTACAGTTAGGTATGGTAACAGCCTGTACAGTTAGGTATGGTAACAGCCTGTACAGTTAGGTATGGTAACAGCCTGTACAGTTAGGTATGGTAACAGCCTGTACAGTTAGGTATGGTAACAGCCTGTACAGTTAGGTATGGTAACAGCCTGTACAGTTAGGTATGGTAACAGCCTGTACAGTTAGGTATGGTAACAGCCTGTACGGTTAGGTATGGTAACAGCCCGTGCGGTTAGGTATGGTAACAGCCCGTGCGGTTAGGTATGGTAACAGCCCGTGCGGTTAGGTATGGTAACAGCCCGTGCGGTTAGGTATGGTAACAGCCCGTGCGGTTAGGTATGGTAACAGCCCGTGCGGTTAGGTATGGTAACAGCCCGTGCGGTTAGGTATGGTAACAGCCCGTGCGGTTAGGTATGGTAACAGCCCGTGCGGTTAGGTATGGTAACAGCCCGTGTGGTTAGGTATGGTAACAGCCTGTGCGGTTCAGGTATGGTAACAGCCTGTGCGGTTCAGGTATGGTAACAGCCTGTGCGGTTCAGGTATGGTAACAGCCTGTGCGGTTCAGGTATGGTAACAGCCTGTGCGGTTCAGGTATGGTAACAGCCTGTGCGGTTCAGGTATGGTAACAGCCTGTGCGGTTCAGGTATGGTAACAGCCTGTGCGGTTCAGGTATGGTAACAGCCTGTGCGGTTCAGGTATGGTAACAGCCTGTGCGGTTCAGGTATGGTAACAGCCTGTGCGGTTCAGGTATGGTAACAGCCTGTGCGGTTCAGGTATGGTAACAGCCTGTGCGGTTCAGGTATGGTAACAGCCTGTGCGGTTCAGGTATGGTAACAGCCTGTGCGGTTCAGGTATGGTAACAGCCTGTGCGGTTCAGGTATGGTAACAGCCTGTGCGGTTAGG